TATTCATGTCACCTGATTCCCAATAGGATTGAGAAAATGCATGTTGGCTTCACCAGCCTTCTTCCAGCTGGAGTCTAGAAAGACAGCAGTTGTCAAACAAATATGATTTCTTTTTATGAAGAGGTGAGCAAAACCTTGGACAGAGGGGTGGCAGTGGACGTGGAATACTTGGATTTTGCAAAAGTGTTTCCCACACATACAAGCAGACAATGATATTTGCTTTTGATGCATGTTGATGTTTTATACATATATTTATACATTTTAGCCACATTGCATTCATTATGTCAGTATTTTTTATCACATTACTCCCCGCCCCTGTGAGCCGGAAGGAAGGCCCCATGTAACCATTAAGGATTCATTAGTGAGCATATATAAGAGAGAGACAGGCATCTAGTCATTTGGCTCTGAGGAAGAGGCTAGTCCTCGAAACGAGTCAGCCTTTTGGATGTCCAGAGTTCTCACTACAGATAGACACACAGTGTGAATTGGACAGAGCTGTGCCTTTTATTTATTGATAATTTGTGAGTATAATACTTATTATTTACATTCATTAAACATTTTTAAGGTAATTCACTAGGTCGGTATGCCCTGTTTTTCTCTATATATGTTTGTTGCCTGTTTTACTTAATGTTCGATCCCCATTATACTTACGGTGGATGATTCATGTATCTCATTATCTCGCCAATCTGAGAGACTTTTCTTATCTTTACACAGTTAATTTTGTCTATTTGAAAAAAGTGATTGAAAAAAAATTATTAGGCAGCAATGTGGACACACAAAAAAGGCTTTTCTTGCTCTGCAGTGAACAAGATAGAAGGCTCAGGACTTGCCACACAAAATATATAAAAAACACTTTATAGTTCCTTTCAAAGTGCATGTAAAACCAAAAAATGTTGTTTTTGTTTTGGTTTTTAATAGAATATGTAAGGATTAAAATCTCTTTAAAGTGAGGGGTATTTTCCTCTAAGACAGTTGTAACTGTTCTTTTATTTCTTTTATTTCCAATGCCTTCAAGTTTAACCAAACCTATTCAACTATTTCTGCAAAAGGCAGCTCACTTACATGAGCCAGTGTTGAAGGACATTTTAAAAAGTTTTCTCTCCTCTAGACTGAATATCATTTACTTTTAAACTATGCTAACAGGAAAACTTGTCAGACTTTCCTCTGTGATGTCAATATATGCAATTGTAAATGCTAAACAACTCCAGTATAGGGAATATTGCGTTTAAACTACCAGTTTAGAAAGTATTAAAGGTGATCTTCCTTGAAAAATTAAGTACTGCCTTGCCTCTAAGAAACTTACAGGGTTTTTTTTTGTGTGTGGGGGGGGGGGGGAGTGGGTACTTTTTGTGAACTGTACTTTCACATTTCCTTAAACCTCACCTAGGCGAAGGTAATGTCACCTTGGGCTAAACTTCCCCCCCAGCCCACGACCTCCTAGAATAACAGCACCCATCCCAGGACGCTGCCAGACCAGTCTTTCTGTGCAATCTCATGCATGTGTAGTATAGAACCAGTTGTCAATCATCAGGAAGTCACAGCCAGCTCCCAAATCCAAGATGGTGCTGCTGGGGATCTGCTGGCATAGGAAGAATTGGTAATGGGAAAGTGAGCACTGGACTGCCTGGGTCAGAAAGTATCTGTTTTTTAAACATCAGCAGCTACAGCATTTGTTACTGCTGACTTTTCATTTTTTTTAAACCAGAGTGAAATTCCTCTAAAATACAAAAATAATGAAAATGAAAAAAGAGCAATAAAAGAAACAAACATCATGATCCATTCATCTGAAAACTGACATTGTCATTGATGTGTAAAACAATATATTTTCTTTTTCCTGACAACAGAGGATTGAGTTTGCCTGCACTGATATTTTATGGTAGAACTATTTATTAAACCCACAATAACTGTAAAATAATACAAACTGCAACAGTATCATGGGAGTTTTCCCCAGTGCTCGTGTGACCTAGAATTGTCCCTAATAAGGTGTTATGTTACTTCAGTCTGCTGACAAATGACAAACAAATTTGTTTTTCAAGGAGTAGCTGAAATAAATTTTAAAGTCACTTAGAGAAAAAAAATAAGGTATTTGAAAAGTTGTACTCATTTTAAAGTGCATATAAACATTTAGATTCTATTAATGTATTCTAATGTGATTTAGTGCCAATGGAGAATAGTGGCATATTATTTTCTTAAAGAATATTTAAGACTTTCTGTGCAATCTGAACTGTTAGCATCATGTACAGTATTTAATGTAAGCTTATTTGTGTCGGTTTTGAAATATTTAAATATTTTATAACCTAATCTACAACAAGGAAAAGCCTGCACAGTCATCTCTAGTCAATATATTTTTCTTGTATCAAGAATCTGTTGCAAAAATAGACCCATAAATAGATGCCATAAAATTATATTTATGGTAGTGCATTTTTGCTGTCTTGAAAATCAATCTTATATGGGTGTTTGCAGCAAAGCAGTTAAAAGAGCAAAACTGAATTGTAGAGTGCTGTAATCCATAGCAAAATAATCAAATTGCACTTTATATAAACTGTTAGTGTAGGCAAACAGCTAAAAATCAAGTTGAAATAGGAATGTATGAACTTTCCTACCTACTAAAAGCTCTGGAATTTTGTTCAGCCAAATCCAGACATCCCCCTCAAATGCAAACTCATAATTGTTTACTTTTCTGCAGTGCGGTCAAAGCAATACAGCTTGGACAAGGTTGTCATTGGATAGTAAAAGAACAGCTACACCTCAATGAGGTCATCTCTGTGCTTACTCATCCAATCAGCAAGCTATAGTTTTTAGAATCCCAGCACTGCATATTGCAATAAAAGCTGATAGGCCTGACACAATGGTGCCTTTTCCTCTCCCTCTTTAAATGCTGACTTGCAAGGGATAACAATATTTAAATATTTTTAATTACACTTCAAAGTAGAAACTGCAATAGCTCCCAATCACCTCTGCTATGGCTGAATGGTGGGTAGTGTAAAAGCTTTAGATAATGTAAATAAAAAATTCTGTGTACCAGCTATAAACAATGAATTGAGCTGCAAGCAAAAAAAAGTGACGAGTGATCACTACTGAACTCTTTGAATATATGCACTGAACTACAAAGAATATGAATGTGTAACATGTAATGTCATTGGAGCGACAAAACATATTGGGCGGAGTTTGGAGCAAGTGAGGAAAGAGGAGGCTGTCTGCAGGCTGCTGGTTCTTATCCATACAGCAGCAACACTTCATAGGATTTACATGCGGATCTCATCTGATTACATGTGAGAGTGATTTTATTTTCTTTTAATAAAGTTATTTAGCAGTGAAGCGCTATGTTTTATGATCAGTTTTTTTTTTTAGCCTGATATAGTACTGATTTCAATTCCACTCATTGCAGTGTGGTTATCTGCTTGGACAGACCTCTTGCTAGTGCCAAGAATGTTTCACACCATTACACCACCACCACCAGCCTGAACTGTTGATACAAGGCAGGATGGATCAATGCTTTCATGTTGTTTACGTCAAATTCTGACCCTACCATCTGAATGCCGCAGCAACCAGTCTACCCATTCTCCTCTGACCTCTGGCATCAACAAGACATTTTCAGCCACACAACTGCAGCTCACTGGATGTTTTCTTTTTTTATGACCATTCTCTGTAAACCCTAAAGATGCTTGTGCATGAAAATCCCAGTAGATCACAGTTTTTTAAATACACACACCAGCCTGTCTTGCACCAACAACCATGCCACGTTCTTCCCCATTCTGATATTTGGTTTGAACTTCAGCAAAGTCGTCTTCACCACGTCTAGATGCCTAAATGCATTAAGTTGCTGCCATGTGATTGGCTAATTAGCAGTGGCCAGAGAGTGTATATTGTACATTCACATCAGTCCTTACCCTTAAGGAACTTCAAGGAAATCTAAGGTCCCCAACTCACATTTATACATATACATAAGGGCCAATTAACCTTCCAACATGTCTTTGGCATGTGGGAGGAAACCCACACATTTACAGGGAGAACATGCAAACTCCTGCCAGGTAGTGCCTTGGTTGAGATTCACACTAATGACCCTGGTGCTGCTAGGTGGAAGTGCTACCCACTTAGCCACTGTGGTGCCCTGTCTTTGAGCTAATTTGTTGAAGACACTTGTGTGGGAAGTTTCAGGACTGATATTTTGTCAGTATTTATTTCATCCATTGCTGCCCCACTGGGGATTTATGTTTTCAATGTGCACTTATGTGACCTTTGTGATAAGTGTCATACTATAAGGTGAGAGAATGCACAAAAGGGAGTAAAGGTGGTGACCTTTTCTGTGAACACATATTCCTTCACATATTGTTTTACAGGTTGGATTGGTTTGTGAATGTGCATTGCAGCATTGCAGAGTTTTATGTTATGCTTGTAGCTCTAACCTTGTAGGAGCTGCTGATTTTAACTGGTTCTTCCCCAAGCAGTTCAGAGACTACCAATCACACAGGAAACAGTCTATTCACTCTGGCTGCTTTAAAAAGTCTAGGGGATGTCTTTTTCTGATTTATTACTTGTAGAGCTCACAACAGGAGAGGGATTGGGTTAGTATAGGATACTTCAGAAATGCTGACAAGAGATCACACTTCACTAGGTGAAACTTGTTTGAATCGTCTTTAAGCTAGAAACAAAAGGGGAAAGCCAGAAATGACACCCTGTAAAATCTGTCCCAGAGAGAGAGCTACTGTTGGCATCCCAAAAGTAGAACTGTACACAGTCACCAGGATCCTGAGCTCAGGTCAGTACTCACAATGTCCCAGGGCAGGTATACATCTTCCAACTTTCACCAGGCACTCTTCATTGAATTCTCCTGACCAGATTCTTAAAGTTTGCAGTAATCGAGTCGTGATATGATGAGGGAGTGGATGAGTTGCTTAGTTGTTTCCGGGGTTAGGAATGGGCGTATTTTGGAGATGTTGCGGAGGTGGAGTCTGCATGAGTGTATACACTTGCTTGTCTAGAGTTTGACCCTATTATTGAATATTTGCTGCAGAACACAGGTCTATAAAATGGTGTATCACTTTTTCTTTAGTGGAATATTCAGAGTTTATTTCAGCAGACAGAGATGCAGGATCCCATACAGACACAGGCAATGGGGGCGGACTGACCATTTGGAAACTCGGGCACTGCTCGAGGGACTTCCGGGGTCAGTAGGGGGCCCCATGAGATGCCTCTGGTACCTTTTATGAGGTGCCCCTGGTACCTTTTTAATAGGCTTTTTTGAGTTTGGGCAAGACACAGGGGCCCCATGATCCCCTATTGCCCAGGGGCCCCATGAGTTGTCAGTCTGCCCCTGGACACAGGGGTTGGTTTACTAAAGAATTAGAGGCTGCTTACCTAGCAAAATGAATGTATATATACTTTGTGAAATGAATGTAAGTAAATAGGTGAACTTGGGTTCCCTTTGAATTCTTATTTAACAGAATAGGTAATCAGCCAAATGATCAGAAAGGGAGTAGCTTTAATGTTCAGCTTGTTAAAGAGCTGCGGACTTAGAAGCAATAATACAAAACAGGTTCAGGATGACAAAGTGCATTATATACACTACAGAGTAATCCAAAACAGATTACAAAAGCTGCACAGACTCTTCACAGCAATTTCTCTGTGATTCAATTAGAGTAATTGATGCTACATAGCATACTTTCTAAAAGACTGTATAACAAAGAGTTTAACAGTTTGCCCACTACCCTATAGTAGAAGTACTGCTACAGGGCAGCAGGGCTTGTCAAAATCATATATATATATGTGATTTGCATTTTTGGGTAAGGAGCGCATGCGCACGGGCCGCCCTACCCGTGCTACCAATGGAGGCTAGGGATTTCCCCAGTGATCGTCAGAGAAAGATGACAGGGGAGAGACCTGTCTGTAAACAACACAGGTCTCTCTCCTGTTAGCAAGGACATGCTGCTTTGTATTTCTCTGCACAGCATCTGCGTGCTGTCAGACTAAAGAAAGGAGGGTCTGCCACTGAAATGCATCACCTTATTGATTGCACTATACCACCAGATGTCTCTGTGAAAGTGGGCGTTCACATGATCCTAGCAGATTCATGACAGCTGTCGGCTTTTTGGGTAAGGAGCGCATGCGCAGGAGCTACCAAAAGGGCTGCTTAAGAAGTTCACCCAAAGGTATGTTTTGCACACCCATTTAGATGCGTTCAGGCACCTGAAGTGTTTATGGAATCCACTGCCTAGAATACTAATTTATTCTGGCTATTGGAATGAACCCTCAAGTACTTGACGCAGTGTTTAGTGTTTTTTTGCTCAAAAGCTCCTTTCCTGAATACGCCATTGACGCCGTTTACATTACTGCCTGTAAACTCTTTTCTTCTAATACTCCTGTAAATGCCTTTGTGTGCATGGATACATGGCTATCATAGAGGTGCGTTTACAGGCAAAAAAAAAATGTCTGTAAAAGCTGCAATGTTTAGGCCTTATTTGCATGATCTCTCAATCTGTTTTATAGTGGCATTCTGTAATGAAACAATATTGAAAAATATATCCCCATGGAATGTAATGCAGCAATGATGACTGTGAAACTTCAAACCAGTATGTGTAGTTTAATGCAAAATGTACTTTTTAGTATCCTGAACAGAGTATATAGTGCAGTTCAGCCAAGATACAAATTTGCTCTGTGGATAATTCTGTAAGCAACAGTTTTTTGCAGTACTATTTAGAGAGAAGTGATACATGCAATGATCATTAAATAATGAACAAAAATTCAGCACTCACACATATAGAATGGGATGGTGACATGGGGCATAGTAGAAGGAAAATGGGAACTGACAAGATGTAATGGAGAAGAGTCACTGAGTGGAATTGTCCATAGGATGGGCAAATGGAGGAGAATGCAGACCAAGGAACCAGGGCACCTGGATTGGAGTCGGCAAGCCTTGTCAGGGATGGTGAAGATCTTTTGTGACCGATGTGGTGGCAGTGTGAACACAGTTAATGCGCTCTGAGGCTGAAAATGGAAGAAGGGATGGACCAGAAGGCAAGCGCCTGGAAAAGAACCGGCAGCTCCTCGTCAAGGATGTGGGGAATCCCTCGAAGACAAGCAGAAGAAAAGGAGGGCACCAGGTCAGGAGGAGTAAAACCAGTAAAAAACTTTAAAGCAGAAGACTTACATCTGGAATTCCTTCAGTCGACGTGTGGAGTGGAAGGACCAGCAGAGGAGCGGGATTGTGGTACACTCTGATGGATGGATCGGTGACAGCAGTGGGACCATGCAGGGATCCGCTCGCAAACTTGGAGATGATGTGTGTTCAAAATTTCCGCCTGGCACGGGAGAAGATGACAGCTGCCGTGAAAAGCAGAAGAAAGGAAGGCGGCAGGTGAGAAATTAGTAAAAAAACAGTAGAGGCTTTATTGCAGAAGTCTTTCATTTAAAATTCCTCCAGTCGTCATGTGGAATAGAAGAATAGGCAGAGAAGCAGGATCGTGATCACTGTGGTGTATGGATCGGTGATTGCAGCAGGACCAAGTAGGGAGCCGCTCGCTAACTCAGCGGTGTCCGTTCAAAATTCCCGCTAGGCAGTGGAGAGGTTGACAAATATCATGGCAGGTGCCGTGAATGGCCGGTGGACAGGGCTGCAACATGTCTCAGAAACCCCGCCTCCTTTGTGAAGCCTTGACAAAGGAGGCGGAGCTTATGAAACACAGCTCCCTGCTTGGTCCCGATGCAATCACCGATCCATCCATTAGACCACGATTCCGCTCCTCTGCTGGTCCTTCCACTCCACATGCCGACTGAAGGAATTCCAGATGTAAGTCTTCTGCTCTAAAGTTTTTCACTGGTTTTACTCCTGATCTGGCACCCTCCTTTTCTTCTATCTGTCTGCCTATTTAGAGAGAAAAATATCAAGTTACTCATCTAGAGTAACTAGATTCAAATTCATCTTTCAAAAAATGTTTTTTATTGAAATATTGGTTATCATATAACGTAAACAAAGGTGAACCACGCTCGCTAAACCAAATCTTAAATAAATATGTGATACTCACAATAATTCTTGCATAAATGTGAATAAATAATAAAAAAAATATAAAAAAAAAATAGAAAAATCAATATAAAACAACATTTTGCAGAAATGCCTACCTCCCACAAGTGCAATACATAAATAAATCATGCCAACTAAATGAAGTGTCCAACATAATTTAAGTGCACAATCAAGCAATTCATGTAAAGTCCATAAACTCCAAGTGCTCCGTGCTCCTTCCTTAATTTAAGTAGTGAAAAAGAAGAAAAAACACCCAGAAGTTATGTGATCTTCCTTTCTTCCCAAAGGAGTGAAGCACATTGCACTCACTAGAAAAATTTGATCTCTTTTCTCAAAGAAGGTCAATTGCGCTTACACATCTCCAGTGGTTCTTGTTTCCCCTTTAATCCGGCTTGTATTAGGAAAGTTGAATACAGCATATAACCATGGTAGTCTTGCACATCAAGAAACTCTAAATTAAACCTCCCTCATAGAGGGGAAAAGATAGAGGAACTTCTCAAAGTGTAATATAGTTAGTTTATTAAAAACTGTTATGAAATTGCACTTACATAAATCTAAAAGATCCAAGCATATATACTCAAAGCAGGAACACTGGTTTGAATTCCACCTGTGTTCCACTGCCTGGAAGTGGTGCATCATGCAACCCCCACCCAACGTGTTTTGGCAACAATGTCTGATGTCATCAGGGGTCACGTGACTAGATACTCACTTCCTATATATACAAACTACAGCTGCCACCTTGCTCGCACTCAATCCAATTGAAATCCTAGCCATCCTACCTCCCAGCTGAAAGTGTTTATCCAAAATTAGGTCTATTTAATATCCTATCAATTTGTCAGACTCTATTTTTTAAAGGTATATGGCGTTTAAGACGTGTTCCAAACATTGATTACCCACCCACTGAATGAGAATATCTAGTGGTGAATTATCATTACGTCCATCAAGAGATTCAATAAATGATAACTTCTAATGGACGCTTATATTATTAGATGGGAACATTTAGTATTAAACCCAAAGCATCCATCCCAAAGGATAAATAAATTAAGATTGACATCTAGTGGACAATTGCATTATTACATATAGTAGCCAAATGTACCCAAATAAATGGATAGGGCCCCCTAATGGTTGGGTCACCTATTCAACAATTCCACTAGGTCCTCTGTTCTAAAGAGGCCCCCTGGTGGTTAACTCACAATTTGCAATGCCAATGAATGAGCCATATATTTACTCAAATGGATAGTTTAGGTGCAATTACAGCCTTAACATCATATTAAAAATTAGAAATAAAACAATTTAAATCAATATCTACATTAAGGCCTGCGGACATAAAGTATTACATTGAAAAATCCATTTTGTTTCATTCATAGGAATGGCTTACTTTAAATTGGTACCTCTCCAGCCTCTTTCAACTTTGTCAATACCACAAAATGTTAAAACACCAGGGTCTTTGTTATGTTGTAACCTAAATTGATTTAATACACTATGTTGGAGGAAACCTTTGTTAATATTATTTATATGTTCATTTATGCTAACTCCTATTTCCTTATGGTACGTCTTACGTACTGAATCTCACAGGGACAACTCAGTAAATAAGTGACATGGTCAGTCTGGCAAGTAATACATTTATTCATTTTATATTCTTTACCTGTATTAAATGATTTACAGTAAATCATACCAATTTAAAGCAAGCCGTTTCTATGACACTTCATTTATATTGGACAATTCATTTAGTTGTCAAGATATATTTATGTATTGTACTTTTTCTATGTGGGAGGTAGACAATTTGTGCAAAAAAGTTGTTTTATATTGATTTTTCTATATTTTTTTTTATCATTTATTCACATTTATGCAAGAATTATATTGTGAACATCATATATTTATTTATGATATGGTTTAAAGAGCGTGGTTCACCTTTGTTTATGTTTATTTGGCTTTCTTAAGTCTGTTAACGGGGTGGCTCCAAAAAGGCACATATAATATTACTGTATTTAAAGGAAATTAGAGCGCAGTCTTAAATTTATCATATAATTTAATTATTAAAGACAGAGGACTGGACTGAAATAAGAATTGTAATTGTTTTCTTACTTTTCAACTTAAAACCCTAAACATTTGCAACAAGAGTGTTAAAATGAACATATTGCAGATAAATGGGCCAAATATATTGACAGCTGTGATAAAATATGGGTGATATCTGACAATTTTCACATAAATCAAGCTGGCCTGTATTGATACCTGTTGACTAGTTGGCCAACTTTGACTCTTACATAATACGTATTTAAG